TTACAGGCGTTTGACCGGCACCGCGCCTTGCCGAGTTTTTGTATTTTTCGCGTAGAGACAGGGGTTTCCACTGTTTTTAGCTCATGGATGGTCTCGGATCTCGGCTGGACCTTGTGATCCGCCCAGCTCTTGGCCTTCCCAGAGTGCCTTGGCGACTTTACTAGGCGTTTGATGGCCCACCGCTCCCAGCCAGGAGAGGGAGTTTTTACCATTGTTCGGTAAGGCTCATCTCAACTTCCGACCTCAGGCTGCATCCGCCTGCCTCTCAACCTCCCAAAGTGCTGGGATTACAGGTGTAAGGCCGCATGCTCCTGGCCACTATTTTCTTAATTTAATCTTTTTTTTTTTTATTTTTTTGAGACGGAGTTCTTCGCTCTGCCGCCTAGGCTTGGAGGTTGGCAGTGGCCGGATCTCAGCTCACTGCAAGGCTTCGCCTTCGCCGGTGGGGTTCCCGCCATTCTCCTGCCTCAGCCTCCTGAATAGCTGGGATTACAGGCGCCCGCCACCTCGCCCGGCTAAGAGTTTTTTGTATTTTTTAGTAGAGACGGGGTTTCACCGTGTCAGCCAGGATGGTCTCCATCTCCTGACCTCGTGATCCGCCCGTCTCGGCCCCCAAAGTGCTGGGATTACAGGCTTGAGCCACCGCGCCCGGCCTCTTAATTTAATCTTACATTTATTATAATACATTTTTATTTCAGCATTTATTTATAGTCTTTAAATTTTTTCCTATAAAATACTAATAATTTAACATTATTTTTTTCTTTTTTGAACTTCAGTTCATTTAATAGCAGAATGATTCAAAGAGCATAATTAAAAGCATAGCAAACCTTGACATCACAAAGATGCGGGTGTAAATTCTTCTCCACTTCTTATTAGCTTTGGGACTGTGCATAAGCTCTCTGAATCTTCATTCCTTACTGTGAAGTGGAGATGATCTTGCCTACCCACAAGTTACAGAGTGATTGTGAGGATGAAGTGAGATCACATATGTAAAGTACATACCGCAGTACCTTCCCCGGAGGAGTACTTGATAGTGACCGCTGTTACTATAATTATCCTCTTCCCTTATCTCCAACTAGATTTTAGACAACCAAGTATTCAGTTTCTGGAAGTATCTCTCAAGTAGCTTGAATCATGTCCAATAAGTATTTGTGATTGGTTAATTATTTAATAGTTTTTGTAGGGTAGTTATATGATACTATGCTTTAGGTTACAAGTAACAGAAATAAAAACAGACGGTCCAACTCAAACTAGCTTAAAAAATAAGAAGTATTGGCTCATGTAAACAAGAAATTCAAAATTAGGTCACAGGCATTTTGTTTGTTTGTTTTTGTTCTTAATTTTTGTAGAGTCAGGGTCTCATCATGTTGCCCAGGCTGGTCTCAAACTCCTGGGCTCAAGCAATTCTCCTGCCTTGGCCTCCCAGAGTGCTGGAATTACAGGCATGAGCCATGGCCATGGTTTGATCCAGGGTGCAGCTTCTTTTCTTTTCTTTTCTTTTCTTTTCTTTTTTTTTTTTTTAAACAAAGTCTCACTCTGTCACCCAGGATGGAGCAGGATGAAGTGCAGTGGCGTGATCTTGGCTTACTACAGCCTTGACTTCCCAGACTCAGGTGATCCTCCTACTTCAGCCTCCTGAGTGGCTGGGATCACAGGAGTGTGCCACCATGCCTGGCTAATTTGTTTGTTTGTTTGTTTTTTTGGGACGGAGTCTCGCTCTGTTGCCTAGGCTGGAGTGCAGTGGCGCCATCTGGGCTCACTGCAAGCTCTGCCTCCCAGGTTCATGCCATTCTCCTGCCTCAGCCTCCAGAGTAGCTGGGACTACAGGCACCCAGTACCACGCCTGGCTAATTTTTTTGTGTTTTTAGTAGAGATGGGGTTTCACCATGTTAGCCAGGATGGTCTCGATCTCCTGACCTCGTGATCTGCCCGCCTCGGCCTTCCAAAGTGCTGGAATTACAGGCATAAGTCACTATGCCCAGCCCTAATTTTTTATATTGTTTGTAGAGACACGGTTTCACCATGTTGCCCAGGCTGGTCTTGAACTCCTGGGCTCAAGCGGTCTGCTTGCCTCAGTCTCCCAAATTCTGGGATTACAGGAGTGAGCAAGTGCACCCACCACACCTGGCTAATTTTTTGTTTTCACACCTGGTTAATTTTTTTAAAAATGTTAGTAGATACAAAGTCTCACTATGTTTCTGAAGCTGGTCTCAAACTCCTGAGCCAGGCAGTCCTCCTGCCTCAGCCTCCTAATGTGCTGGAATTACCAGTGTGAGTCATCATGCCCAGCCTGGGAAGGCAGTCTAAGAGGAAGGAACAGTGTGAAAAAATACAGGTTGAGGGTGTCTAGTGTGTGCTTATAAGAAAAAGGGAAGAAAGCAAGAAGCAAGAATGGAGCATTGGGGATGACAAAGAAAAGACACTTCTCAGCTTGTACATCCTCAGCAACACCAGTATTCACTTGATTCAAATATTTGTTATACAGGTATAAACACACTTATATATGCATAGGTTATTTCTAAAGAGCACCTAAGAAACTGGTAGCAGTAGTTGCTTCTGTGGAGGTTTTGGGGTGGCAGGAGTCAGGGATGGAGGGTGACTCACTTTCACTGTTCTTTTATATCTTTTGCATTTTGTCCTATGTCCATCTATTACCTATTCCACCAAAAGTAACTTGAAAATATTTTTTAAATAGGTAAAATATGTCATCTTTTGAGCTTTGTGTCTTGGCAAAACAGCAGTCACAGCGATCCCTTTAAAATAGGTCATATTATGTCAGTTCAGTGCTCAGAACTCTCCAGTAGCTCCCCATTTTACCCAGGGTAAAAGTCAAAGATCTCAGAATAGCCTATAAGGTCCTCCATGATTCAGAAGCCCTGGCATGTTTCCTCCTCAGAGTGTATGCCCTGCTGCCTTGCCTATTGTTTTAGTCATTAATTTTCTTGCTATCTATCTCCCCTCTGTAAAATGTTAGCCCTGTGAAGACAGATTTTTGTCTGATTTGTTCTCTGCTAGTTCCAGCTCCTGAAATAGTTCCTTATATGGTAGATCACACACAAAAAAAATTGTCACAAATTATCTGCAGCCCCTCCCTTCAATACCTGGAGTATGTTTTCTCATTTTGAATTTCGGCCGGCCTTAGATTTGCTTTGATACCAGTAGAATGCACTGTAAGTGATATGTTTGAGTTCCAAGCTGAGTCCTGTCAGCTTCCACTGTTGCCCTAAGAACCTTTCCACCAGCATGAGAACAAGCATGGAATGGCTTTCTGGAGGATGAAAAAAACAGGTGACAGGCCTTAGCCGTTTCAGTTGTCCCAGTTGAGGCCCCAGACATGAAAGTGAGGCCATCCTAGCTACCCCATAGGGATACTGTGAGGATCAGAGAGAATGTATGTAATATGTATGCGACAGTTCCTGGCACATAGGTTCATTCTCATTATTGCTACCTCTCCTCTTCCTTTAAAAGGAAAATAATTCAGCCTGGGCAACATGGAGAAACCCTGTCTCTACCAAAAATACAAAAATTAGCTGGGTGTGGTAGAGTGTGCCTGTAGTCCCAGCCACTAGGGAGGCTGAGACGGGAGGATCACTTGAGCCTGGGAGTTGGAGGTTGCACTGAGTTGAGATCACACCGCAACAGTCGAGACCCTGTCAAAAAAAAAAAAAAAAAGAAAGGGGGAAGGAAGGAAGGGAGGGAGGAGGGAGGGAAAAGAAGGGAAGGAAAAGAAAATAGAATAGAATTAACAAACCAGATGTTGAAATCTGTCAAAAGTCCTTTTCAGAAATACCAGTCCTGGATGGAAGGTACTAAAAGAGAGTAATAGAGATATGATCTGTAGTCTGTAGTGATCTGCAATCACTATTTTACACACAATTTAAGAAACTACCTGTATTTTGGAGATTTCTCAAAAAACTAAAAATAGAACTACCATACGGTACAGCAGTCCCACTACTGAGTATTTATCCAAAGGAAAAATAAATAAATATATCAAAGAAATACCTACATCCCTGTGTTTATTGCAGCACCATTTATAATAGCAAAGCTATGGAATCAACCTAAGTGTCTATTAGTGGACTAATGGATAAAGAAAATGTAGTATATATACACAATGGAATACTATTTGGCCATAAAAATAATGAAATCTTGCCATTTGCAGCAATGTGGATGGAACTAGAGGTCATTATGTTAAGTGAAATGAGCCAGGCATAGAAAGACAAGTATTGCATGTTCTCACAATGTGGACACTAAAAAAGTTATTCTCATGGAGGTAGAGAGTAGAATGGTAGATACCAGAGGCTGGGAATGGTGTGTGGGTGAGTATGAAGAGAGGTTGGTTAGTGGGTACAAACATACAGTCAGGTAGAAGTAATGAGTTCTAATGTTGGGTAGCAGAGTAGGGTGACTATAAGTTAGCATCAGTGTATTCTGTGTTTCAGCATAGCTAGGACAGAGGACTTAAGATGTTCTTAACACATAGAAATGGTAAATATTTGAGGTGATGCACACCCCAAATATCCTGGCTTGATAATTACACAGTCTATGCATGTAACCAAATATCTGTCACATGTACCCCATACATTTTTTCTTTTTTCTTTTTTTTTATTTTGAGACAGAGTCTCGCTGTGTTGCCAGGCTGGAGTGCAGTGGTGCGATCTCAGCTCACTGCAACTTCTGCCTCCCAGGTTCAAGTGATTCTCCTGCCTCAGCCTCCTGAATAGCTGGGATTACAGGCACGTGCCACCACGCCTGACTAGTTTTTTGTATTTTAGTAGAGATGGCGTTTCACCATGTTGGCCAGGATGGTCTCTATCTCCTGACCTCATGATCCACCCACCTCAGCCTCCCAAAGTGCTGGGATTACATGCGTGAGCCACCGCGACTGGCCCTTTTTGTTTTGTTTTGTTTTTCTTTTTGAGACAGAGCCGCACTCCATCCAGGCTGGAGTGTACAGTGGCATGATCTTGGCCCACGGCAACCTCCACCTCCCAGGTGCAAGCAATTCTTGTGCCTCAGCCTCCCAGGTAGCTGGGATTGCAGGCATGCACCACCATGCCTGACTGATTTTTGTATTTTTAGTAGAGACAGGGTTATGCCATGTTGACCAGGCTGGTTTTGAACTCCTGGCCTCAATTGATCCACCCGCCTTGGCCTCCCAAAGTGCTGGGATTACAGGCATGAACCAACGTGCCTGGCCACATGTACCCCATAAATATTTTAAAATGCCATGTATCAATAAAAATATACTAACAACAACAAAAAAAAGGAGGAGGAGGAGGGAACTGCCTGTATTTCAAAGGAATTTGGGAACTCTCCTGCCTGATTGGTCAGAAGGTATGACATATTGCTAGGTGTCCACTAGGGAGCGATAAACACATTTAATTAAGGAATAGTGCTTCTCCAAGGTATATGCACTTGCCAGATGGTAGATGTTACTTTATTACTTTAATTCGGCTGTGAAACTTAAAGACTTCTTTAATTTGTTAATTTTGTACTTAAAGTTATTAAGAGATGGCTTTATTCTTTTTAAGGTATTAAAAGGACTCATAATATATGTTTTCAAGAAAGTCAGCCTTTGCAAGTTATTTTTGACAAGAATGTTTGTACTAATACACTAATGATTCAACCAAGGTAATGAGTTCTCTGTTGTCAATTTTTTTTCCCCTGAATACAGTATGATCATGGAGTGAAGAATCAGTGCCCTAGAGCTTTTCAGTCAGTAAATTTTTTTTTTTTGGATACGGAGTCTCCCTCTGTCACCCAGGCTGCAGTTCAGTGGTGTGATCTCGGCTCATTGCAAGCTCCACCTCCCAGGTTCACACCAGTCTCCTGCCTCAGCCTCCTGAGTAGCTGGGACTACAGGCACCCGCCACCGCGCCCAGCTAATTTTTTTGTATTTTTAGTAGAGACGGGGTTTCACCATGTTAGCCAGGATGGTCTTGATCTCCTGACCTCGTGATCCACCTGCCTCGGCCCCTCAAAGTGCTAGGATTGCAGGCGTGATCCCACCACCACGTCCGGCCAGAACTTTTTTTTTTTTAAGCTAAAGTTTGACTTGGAGAAATCACCATACAGGGACAAGAGGAAACTTTGATAAAGATAATAGTGGATAATAACTAATGGTAGCAATAATAATTTAGCGACCCAAGAAAGTTCTAAAAACACCCCATCAGTGACTTTCTATATTAAGTTGCATTTATATGATTCCTTTCTGAATCTTAGAACACAGAACTTGAGGAAATTTTAACATTTTTTATGTGAAATGATTTTGGCCCTAAGTATTAACAGTTTTTTCCTCTAGATAGTGTGGCATATTTGTCTTGAAATTTGAAAATTGGAACTTGTTATTTGAAAGTGCATCCAGTTTTCAGTTTAGCTGTAGCATTAAACATTAACATTACTTTGTGAGCCAAAATATATTTTATCCATATTGTTTTAAAATTTTATTATTATTATTGAGACAAAGTCTCCCTCTGTCACCCAGGCTGGAGTGCAGTGATGTGATCTTGGCTCACTGTAACCTCCACCTCCTGGGTTTAAACAATTCTTGTGCCTCAGCTTCCCGAGTAGCTGGGACTACAAGTGCGAGCCACCATGCCCGGCTAAATTTTGTATTTTTTGTAGAGACAGGGTTTCGCCATGATGCTCAGGCTGATTGAGACAAAATTCTGAGTTCAAGTGATCCACCTGCCTTAGCCTCCCAAAGTACTGGGATTACAGGTGTGAGCTACCCCACCTGGTCCTTCCTTCCTTCATGTTGTCATTTTTTTGTATCAGATTATTTGGTATCTTCTATAACTGCCCCCGCTTAACACTGGAAAAGTTCCCAAATGAATTTTGTAGGTGTTCCTGACATTTTGATATCAAGAAACACTGTGAAACCAATGTCTAACATCAGATTAACACCAAGATTACATAAATTCTAAGAATTTTATTTTTATCTTAATAATACTTCAATGTCAAAAGGAGTGCAGAACTTCTAATACAATAATAAAAAGACAACCCAGCTATAAAAAATAAGTAAAGAATTTTAATAGTCATTTCTTCAAAGAAAATGGCAATAAGCACTTGAAAAGATGCCCAACATCATTAGTCATTAGGGAAATGCAAATCAAACAGTTTTCAATCTGTGAATTATGTCATATGGGAATTATATCTCAATAAAACTGTTTTGAAAAAAGGAGCCAGAATAAAAGGGCGTTTGGGATGTCAAGAGAAGCTTGAAAGCAATGGGTAACAGTCAAGGAAAGGAACAGAGGGAAAGAATATAGACAGCAGGCTGCCTAGAAACCTCTGCCCCCTCATCTAGGTCTCCAGCATAATTCACCTGAATTGTTTTTGAACAGCTTCACTTTGCAATATCTCCCTTTACAGTATGAGCTGGGGCGTAAGTGACTGGGCATACAAAAACATAGAATTAAAGATATTTTATTCTGGAATTTTGTTTGTACTGCAGCGTTCATGTGTTTTATTAAGGATATATTTTGCTATTCTCTTGGCCTTCAAATGAAGTTATAATTTTAAAATAAGCTGAAAATATAGCAGCTTATGTATAAGAAAGAAGATAGGAGTTTGGGTAAATTTTTGTAAACCCAGGCCACGTAATTATTTATTTCCAGATTAGAGATTTGAGTCCCAGTTAATAAGTTATGTCTTTCTGTTTGTTTTTCAAATAATGTTATACTTTTGTTTACATTTTATAGATTGCTTGCTGATGCCATTGTTCTTTTTACATCAAGTCAAGAGGAAGTTACTCTTGCTGTTACTCCACTGAATTTTTGCCTCAAGAGTTCTAATGAGGAATCAATGGGTAAGGATTGTATCTGAAATGGTGTTTTGATGGGTTATTACTTTCTTTCTCTTGATTACTAACCATACTGCAAATATTAGTGGCATAATTTTATTCCTGTCTAAAAAGCAGTAAGATGTAGAAAGGTTGGAAAAAGTTTTAAGAGATCCAACAAGTTTAACACAATCAGCAATTAAAATATTTGGCTTTGAAATTCAGGTCATTTTAAAATTAGGAGAATGGGGCCAGATGCTGTGACTCCCGCCTGTAATCCTAGCACTTTGGGAGGCTGAGGTGGGTGGATTACCTGAGGTCAGGAGTTCAAGACCAGCCTGGCCAACATGGCGAAAACCAATCTCTACTAAAAATAAAAAAATTAGCTGGGCGTGGTGGCTCGGGCCTGTAATCCCAGCTATTCAGGAGGCTGAGGCGGGAGAATTGCTTGAATCTGGGAGGTGGAGGTTGCAATGAACCGAGATTGCACCACTGCACTCCATTGCCTGGGCGACAGAGACTCTGTCTCAAATAAAATAAAAAAGAAAATTTGCTAGGGTCTTTTGGCACAACAAGCTGTTTGAGACTCTCTGACCTTAGATAATATGTTTTTGGTGACAGCAGTAAGGAGAGGATACAAAGGAAAGAACTATTATTTTAAAGTGAAAAACCAGTAGAACCAGGGCTTAAGTTGGGTCACATGACTTTTGTAGTGTTTAGTTTGTGCCAGGTTCTGTGCTAAATAGTTTACATTTATGAAGTCATTTGATCTTCATAATAACTCTAAGATGTATGTAGGTACTATTATTATCCCCAGTACATATGAAGAAATTGAAAGTACATATAAAGCACATACGAAGCAGTTAGACACTTTGGGAGGCTGAGGCAGGAGGATCACTTGAGGGGACTTACCAGCCTTGGCAACATAGTGACACCTCATCTTTACAAAACATAAGAAAAATAGCCAGGCATGGTGGTGCACACCTGTAGTCTCAGCTACTTGGTAGGCTGCAGTGGAAGGATTGCTTGAGCCATGATTGTGCCACTGCACTCCAGCCCAGGCAACACAGCAAGATCCTGTCTCAAAAACAAAAACAAAAACAATTTGAAGCACAGAGAAACTGGCTTGCTTGGTGTCACAAATTGCCTAGTGAAAGGGTCTGTTTTATGCACCATGATGCCATCTCTGAATAAAAATGGCCATTTAGTAACCAGGAGAAATTGTCCCTTGTGAGTAGCTTTCTAATGAAGTTATAGTTACAGTTGACTGGCAATCTAGTTGTTTAATCTTATTATTAAACAACTTCTGTGCTAGTATATTGGGAGTGACATGAGCCTTCTTGTTGGAGATGAATGTATATTTAAGACATTGTTTGATTCTTTAAAAAATATATCATTTGGCCGGGTGCGGTGGCTCATGCCTGTCATCCCAGCACTTCGGGAGGCTGAGGCAGGTGGATCACAAGGTCAGGAGATCGAGACCATCCTGACCAACATGGTGAAACCCCGTCTCTACTGAAATACAAAAAATTAGCGGAGCATGGTGGTGTGCACCTATAGTCCCAGCTACTTGGGATGCTGAGGCAGGGGAATCGCTTGAACCCAGGAGGCAGAGGTTGCAGTGAACCAAGATCACACCACTGCACTCCAGCCTGGTGACAGAGCAAGACTCTGTCTAAAATAATAATAATAATAAATATATATATGTCACTCAATCTTTGTTCTTATTACTTCTACAGTTGATATTCATTGAAGAAAATTAAAAATACAAAAAAAAATTTTTAAGTCACCTGATATCCCGCTATACAGAGATAAGCACTTTTAATAGTTGGGTGTATTTCCTTCTATACTCTAGATCTCACAACAGTAGATTGAGTGAAGATAATTAAATACTATGAAACTATTAAAAGTAACATTGGCCAGGTGCAATGGCTTACCCCTGTAATCCCAGTGCTTTGGGAAGCTGAGGCAGGATTGCCTGAGGCCAGGAGTTCAGACCAGCCTGGGCAACATAGCAAGATCCCATCTCTACAAAAATTAAAAATTAGCCAGGTATGGTGGCATGTACCTGCAGTCCATGCTGTAGCAGCTGAGGCAAGAGGATCACTTGAGCTCAAGATTTCAAGGTTGCAAGTGAGCTATGATCATGCCACTGTATTCCAGCCTGGGCAACACAGTGAGACCCTGTCTCAAAAAAAATTAATGGGCCGGGCACAGTGGCTTATGCCTGTAATCCCAGAACTTTGGGAAGCCAAAGAAGGCCGATCACCTGAGGTCAGGGGTTTGAGTCCAGCCTGGCCAACATGGTGAAACTCTTTCTCTACTAAAAATACAAAATTAGCTGGACATGGTGGTGTGTGTCTGTAGTCCCAGTTACTCAGGGGACTGAGGCAGGATAATTGCTTGAACCTGAGAGGCAGAGCTTGCAGTGAGTCGAGATCACACCACTGGACTCCAGCTTGGGCAACAGAGTGAGACTCCATCTCAAAAAAAATAATAATAATAATAATAAAATTAAAGTAATGTTATATGTGTATGTATAAATACATCCCTCTCTCTCTGAAAGTATATATCAGAGAGGTTTAATGAAGCAGTTTTATAGTGGAAAGCACAAAACATTGACACACACACACAAATAATTATAAAAATGTGCTTATTGACATGGAAAAATAGGATATATTGTTGGGTAGATTATAAAATGGTATGTAGGGTAAGATCATACTTTCATTTAAAAATGTGCATGTAAGTGGCACATGTCTGTAGTCCTGGCTATTCAGAAGGCTGAGGCAGAGGATCGCTAGAGCCCAGGATGTCAAGGCTGCAGTGAGCTGTGATCATGCCACTGCACTACAGTCTGGGCAATACAGCAAGACCCTGTCTCAAAAAGAAGAAAACAAAAAATTAACTAACTTAGATAAGAAATCTGATATTTAAACATAAACAGTTTGATTTATGTGAAATGGATTTATAGACCCTAAATCATTGGGGAGTTTAAGAGAAATGTAAAATATTAAGTTTCTGTTTGAACAAAGGCATTTAAAAATAGCATACAGATATCAGGTTGGGGAGTTAGGGTAGGTAGGGTAGGAGGAAATGGGATGGGATTTGGGAGACCAAAAAATTTCTTTTTTCCTCTGAATTCATCTCTGGAACTAATTTTATTCTTTATTTTCCCATAATGTTAAACAGATTTGAGCAATGCTGTGTACAGTGAGATGTTTGTTGGCTCAGATGAGTTTGACTTCTTTCAAATTGGAATGGACACTGAGATAACGTTTTGTTTCAAAGAATTGAAGGTAAAGATTTGTATCAAATTAAAATTCAAATTTTCACTGTAAGTTTTTAATAAGGATTTCAAGTTTTTTTCTGCTTTTCTTTTTTCAGGGAATACTGACATTTTCAGAAGCTACACATGCTCCTATATCCATTTATTTTGACTTTCCTGGGAAGTAGGTCCTTGAGAATTTTTCTGAGTTTGTTTCATATCAATAACAAAACCCTTTGGATCACTTTGAAATTAATTAACACCTCAGGAATACCTAAACTTTACTATTAATACTTATCAAACTAAAATTTTGAAAGATGCTGAAACATGGTATTTTTAATTTTCTTTTTTCTTTTCTCAGACGGGAGTTTCGCTCTGTCGCCCAGGCTGGAGTGCAGTGGCATGATCTTGGCTCACTGCAGTCTCCACCTCCCGGGTTCAAGCAATTCTCCTGCCTCAGCCTCCCAAGTAGCTGGGATTACAGGCATCTACCACGCCTGGCTCATTTTTGTATTTTTGATAGAGACGGGCTTTCACCATGTTGGCCAGGCTGGCCTCGAACTCCTGACTTAAGAGATCCACCGGCCTCGGCCTCCCAAAGTGCTGGGATTACAGGCGTGAGCCACCGCACCCGGCCTTACTGTTTCTTTTTTTTTTTTTTTTTTTTTTTTTGAGACTGAGTTTCACTTTTGTTGCTCAGGCTGGAGTGCAATGGTGCAATCTTGGCTCACTGCAACCTCTGCCTCCCAGGTTCAAGTGATTCTCCTGCCTCAGCCTCCCGAGTAGCTGGAATTACAGGCACGTGTCATCATGCCCGGCTAATTTTTTTTTTTTTTTTTGTATTTTTAGTAAAGACGGGGTTTCTCCATGTTGGTCAGGCTGGTCTCAAACTCGCGACCTCAGGTGATCTGCCTGCCTCGGCCTCCCCTGTTTCTTTTTAGTCCAGAATTAAGTATCATTTCTAATGTGTTTCTAATGTCCATCAGAAAATGAGTATCACTGTTGCTCTGACTTGGCTTTTTTAGACCTCTGGCTTTAAGTATTGATGATATGTTAGTGGAAGCTAACTTTATTTTGGCCACATTAGCTGATGAGTCAAGTAGAGCATCTTCACCACAGTCACTGTGTCTTTCACAGAAACGAAAAAGGTAAGACCGTGTTTTAACTTCTTTATTAATTGGGATAAGCCGTCATAATCGTATTCTGAAGTAATTCACTGGCATTCGCTCAGGAAACAATTGAGGAGTGAAATATTAAATAACAAATTTTGGCTGAATACGGAAGAGCTGTAGTGAAGCTTACCTGTAGCATAGAAACATCACCAATCTTGTGTCAGATATTTGCTTTTTCTCTTCTGATCAGAATTGAACAGGACTGTCTGGTTTATCTGTGTTGTGTCCCAGAACACAATTCCAATTTTTAGGTTTTTATTTTTTTTTGTTGTTGTTGTTGTTATTATTGTTTTTTTTTTTTTGAGACGGAGTCTCGCTGTATCACCCAGGGTGGAGTGCGGTGGCCGGATCTCAGCTCACTGCAAGCTCCGCCTCCCGGGTTTTTACGCCATTCTCCTGCCTCAGCCTCCCGAGTAGCCGGGACTACAGGCGCCCGCCACCTCGCCCGGCTAGTTTTTTGTATTTTTTAGTAGAGACGGGGTTTCACCGTGTTAGCCAGGATGGTCTCGATCTCCTGACCTCGTGATCCGCCCGTCTCGGCCTCCCAAAGTGCTGGGATTACAGGCTTGAGCCACCGCGCCCAGCCCAGTTATTATTGTTTTAGACAAGGTCTCACTCCCGTTGCCCAGGCTTGAGTGCTGTGGCGCAAACTCGAGTCACTGCAGCCTCCATTTCCCTGGCTCAAGTGATCCTCCCACCTCAGCCTCCCAAGTAGCTGGTACCATAGGCATGTGCCACCACACCCAGTTAATTCTTTGTAGTTTTTTTTTTTGGTAGAGACAGGTTTCACCATGTTGCCCAGGCTGGTCTCAAACTTCTGGGCTCAAGCCATCCACCTGCTTCAGCCTCCCAAAGTGCTGGGTTTACAGGTGTGAGTCACCACATTGGGCCTTTAGTTGTTTTTTTTTAAATAGTAACATAGTGTTTTCATAGGAAAGTCTATATTCACTTCCTAGAACTTTTGCTCAGATATAGGGATAGCCATTGCTTGCTTGCTTGCTTGCTTTCTCTTTCTTTCTTTCTTTCGTCTTTCTGTCTTTCTGTCTCTTTCTTTCTTTCTGTCTTTCTTTCTCTCTCTCTTTCTTTTCTTTTCTTTTCTTTCTGTCTTTCTGTCTTTCTTTCGAGACAGAGTCTCACTCTGTTGCCCAGGCTGGAGTGCAGTGGCATGATCTCAGCTCACTGAAACCTCCACCCACTGGGTTCAAGCAATTCTCCTGTCTCAGCCTCCCTAGTAGCTGGGTTGACAGGTGTGCACTACCACGCCTGGCTAATTTTTGTATTTTTAGTAGAGACGGGGTTTCACTATGTTGGTCAGGGTGGTCTTGAACTCCTGACCTCGTGATCCACCACCTCAGCCTCCCAAAGCACTGGAATTACAGGTGTGAGCCACTGCACCTGACTTTTTTTTCTTTCTTAATTTCTTTTGGGGGAAGAAGGATGCTTTATTGTAAAAGTTATTTCGGGAAATTTGGGAAATAGAGAAAAGTACAAAGAAGAAAATAAAACTTACTCATAATTCTATCACCCAGAGATAGCCACTGTTAACATTCTGGCTCACTGCATTTTCTTTCAGACTTAATTTTGTGTATACTTGTATTTTCAAATTTTTAAAAAAATTTTTTGAGACAGGGTCTCACTCTGTCACCCAGGCTGGAGTGCAGTAGCATAATCATGGCTCACCTTAGTCTCAACCTCCCAGGCTCAAGCATTCCACCTTAGCCTCCTAAGTAACCAGGACTACAGGCACCTGCCACCATACCCAGCTAATTTTTGTGTTTTTTGTAGAGATTGGGTTTTACCATGTTGCCCAGACTGGTCTCTTAACTCCTGGGCTCAAGCAGTCTTCCTCCTCGGCCTCCCAAAATGCTAGGATTACAGATGTGAGTGAGCCACTTCCCCCAGTCTATACTTGTATCTTAAAACAAGATTAGGATCATAGAGCATATGTGGTTTTGGTATTGCGGGTATGTTTCAATATCACTGATAATGACTTGAAAACATGATTTTTCTTTTTTTTTTTTTTTTTTGAGTCAGAGTCTTACTTTGTCACCCAGGCTGGAGTGCAGTTGCAGCATCTCAGCTCATTGCAACCTCCGCCTCGCCCAGCTAATTTTTTTGCATTTTTAGTAGAGACGAGGTTTCACCATCTTGGCTTTGCTGGTCTTGGACTCCTGGCCTCATGATCCACCCACTTTGGCTTCCCAAAGTGTTGGATTACAGGCGTGAGCCTCTGTGCCCGGCCGAAAACATGATTCTCAATGACTGTACACAATTTTATCATATAGATGTATAGTAATTTGCTTGACTTTTACTGTAACTTGTTCCTGTTACCATATCACAAGATATTCTATGCACAGTGAGTTGCTTTACTGAAAGATTCGTCTGTCAAGAGAACTTACAAATCATCATATATATAAATTTTAACCAGCAACAATTTAGTTCCATGCATTTCAGTGTATTCCCTAATCCAGTGCTGTCATTGTCATCCCACATTGTCCATTAGTTATATAAAAAATATATTTCACAATAAACAGTTCATTCATTTAATGCCTATTAATACCTCAGGTCAGATCTGATTAAGAAAAAGGCTGGCAAAAATATAACCGGCCAGGCCCTGGAATGTATTTCAAGAAAAGCAGCACCAAGAAGGCTTTATCCTAAGGAGACTCTCACAAACATCTCTGCATTGGAAAACTGTGGAAGCCCTGCAATGAAAAGAGCGAATGGAGATGTCAGTGAAGTATCAGAAAACAGTGTCAGCAACACAGAGGAAGTGCCAGGGTCTCTGTGTCTCAGAAAGGTAAAATAAAAGCATTGAGATTCAACCACATCTCAGTCAAGAATTCTCATGTGTCTCCCTTTGCAGTCTTCTTCCCCAATCCCCACCCAGCCATGTTCTGAAAATTTATTTTCTTATGTTTTGATAGGGGAAAAGTGAAGCTAGTCTGAATTATAGACTGAAGAAAAGTCTGATAGAGAAAAGTCTGATTTACGGAATATCAATAGAAAATAGTTAAATTGTTCAGTCAGTAATTTCTAATAAAGCATATTCAAGTAGAGATTTGGGTCACTTGTTTCCAATAATAAATTATGATTATTTATGGTATATTCTATCTTGAATAACAATAATATGTTGAGGTCATGTAATTTGTTTCCTAAAATGTTTCCTTCTAATTTTACTTTTCAAATTTGTTTGGTAAAGCTTGTATTCATAATAGTACAAATGTAAATTTCATCCCAACAAATATCACAAATTCCTTCCTAATGGAGTCCCAGTTAATAACATCTTATTCTATAAGATAGATGATAAGCTTCACAGAATGCTGTAGTGTTAAACCTTATGAAATCTACTGAAGGTAAGCAATGTATAAGAAACTGAAGTATCTCAAATATTGATAATCCTAATTTTACCTGTTTAATGTTTTGTTCAAGATTGTTTTGCTGTTGTTATTGTTGGTTTGGAAATAAGAGTTTCTTAGTTAGAATTAGAAATTTGAAAGCAGAAATAATATTTTTGGAAGTTATCATCACCATCTTGGCTGGGTACAGTGGCTCACGCCTGTAACCCCAGCCCTTTGGAAGGCCAAAGAGGGAAGATCTCTTGAGGCCACGAGTTCAAGAACAGCCTGAGCGACAGAGTGAGACCCCATCTCTACAGAAATTTAAATAGTAGCCAGATGTGGTGGCTGTAGACCTAGCTGCTGAGGAGGCTGAAGTGGGAGGATCTCTTGAGCCCAGTAGTTCAAGGCTTTAGTGAGCTATGATCGTACAATTGCACTCCAGTCCTGGCAACAGAGTGAGACCCTGTCTCTTAAAAATAAAAAATTCACCATATTACGCTGTATATGACTTTTACGGCAGAAGTTGATTAGTAAACTGGACTTACTCAGTTTGATACCATAGGTGTTTTACTGAGTACTTGTTATATGCCCAAAACTTAGGGCAATTTTCTCTTCCTGTATGTTACTAAGTTGGCCATAAAGTGAAAACTAAAATCTGTGTTCTCATTGTACAAAATCACTGTCCCCTCGTATTTTTCTAGTCACACATATTGTGCTTACTTTTTCACAGGCAACAACAGAAATCATTTTCCTGCTGCTTCAGGTCCCTGAAATTCACTAAGATTGCCAGTTTCTTTGCTAGAGAAAATGACATTTAGAACTTTAAGCTCCATGAGCACCATTACAGCACTCTTTACTCCAAATTTCCTATTGTGTCACCAGATTCTTGAAAGAAGGCTCTATTTTTAAAGGGAATTATTTGCCTTAATGTGGCAAACTCCTGCAAAGCTGAAATTACATTATGGGTAAATGATGTAGACCCTTGTCATGTTCTGCCTGAACTTCCATGGGCTTCCTGCCGTCCTCTGTGCCTCTGTTCTCCTTCACCCTGCTTCTCTTCGACAGTGTACTCATAGATTTTTGTCCAAACCTGAGGTCTACATTGAGTCCCAGGGATTCAGAGCCCTGGCTGTAGAGTTCCCATTCCAAGGTTCAAACCTCTCTCTTACCACGTATTAACTGTAACTTGGACAAGTTATTTATTTTGCCCTCAGTTTCCTTAGTAAAATGGGGATAATAATAATAATGTCCACTAAATGGAATTGTAAAAATTGAGCTAAAGGTGTAACAGGCACATGGTCAGTGCTTGATAAAATTTAGTTATTGGCTGGGCACAGTGTCTCACACCTGTAATACTAGCACTTTGGGAGGCAGAGACGGGCGGATCACGAGGGCAGGAGTTCAAGACCAGCCTGGCCAAGATGGTAAAACCCCATCTCTACTAAAAATACAAAAATAAGCTGGGCATGGTGGCGGTCGCCTGTAATCCCAGCTACTTGGGAGGCTGAGGCAAGAGAATCACTTGAACCCAGGAGGTGGAGGTTGCAGTGAGCTGAGATCGCGCCATTGCACTCTAGCCTGGGCGACAAAGCAAGACTTTGTGTAAAAAAAAAAAAAAAATTATTGTTACTTATCACTCTCTTGCTTTTAAAACTCTTAGGTTGGCCAGGCGTGGTGGCTGATGTCTGTAATCCCAGCATTTTGGGAGGCCAAGGTAGGCAGATCATAAGGTCAAGAGATCAAGACCATCCTGGCCAACATGGTGAAACCCTGTCTCTACTGAGAACACAAAAATTAGCCGGATATGGTTGGCCAGGCTGGTCTCAAACTTCTGACCTCAAATGATCTGCCTGCCTCGGCCTTCCAGAGTGCTGGGATTACAGGCATGAGTCACTGCGCCTGGCCTCAACATTTAATATTCAGTATAACAGTACAGTGATCATTTCATTGAACAAAAATCAGAAAATACAAGTAAGAGATAATCACTTCAAATATTTTGATTATTACTCTTCCTTTAAGACACTCTTCTTCTTCTTTTTTTTTTTTTTTAAGACGGAGTTTCGCTCTTTTGCCCAGGCTGGATTGCAATGATGCAATCTCGGGTTCACTGCAACCTCCACCTCCCAGGTTCAAGCAATTCTCCTGCCTCAGCCTCCTGAGTAGCTGGGAATACAGGTACTTGCCACCACACCCGGCTAATTTTTTTGTATTTTTTTAGTAGAGACGGGGTTTCACCGTGTTAACTTGGTCTCCCTACCTTGGGTGATCCGCCCACCTTGACCTCCCAAAGTGCTGGGATTACAGGCATGAGCCACTGTGTCCGGCCAATTTTTGTTTTTTTAGTAGAGACAGGGTTTCACCATGTTGGCCAGGCTGGTCTCAAACTCCTGACCTCAAGTGATCCACCTTCCTTGGCTTCCCAAAGTGCTGGGCTTACAGGTGTGAGCCACCATGCCCAGCCTGCTTTGTCCTTCTTTACCTTGACATTTTAGTAGAATGTCCTAACTTTGGTTTTTTCCTGTGTTTCCTCATGATTAAATTTTAACTATGTATTTTTGGTAAGAATTCAACAGAGTAATAATGTTGGGTTCTCTTTGTACATCATATCTGGAGGAACAGGTTTTTTCTCCGTATTGGTGGTGGTAATTTCTATCATATGGTCAAGGTGGTGTCTGCCAGCTCTCTACTATAAAGTTACTGTTTTTCTGTTAGTAACTAGTAAGTATTTTGTGGAGAGATACTTTGATACTATGTAAATATCCTGGTTTTCATCATACTTTTTTTTTTTTTTGAGAGGAGTCTCACTCTGTTTCCCAGGCTGGAGTGCAGTGGCATGATCTCGGCTCACTGCAACCTCTGCCTCCCAGGTTCAAGTGATTCTCCTGCCTCAGCCTCTTGAGTAGCTGGAATTACAGGCACCTGCCACCACGCCTGGCTAACTTTTGTAGTTTTCAGTAGAAATGGGGTTTCACCATCTTGGCCAGGCTGGTCTTGAACTCCTGGCCTTGTGATCCACCCGCCTTGGCCTCCCAAAGTGCTGGGATTACAGGTGTCAGCCACTGCACTCGGCCTGTTTTTTGTTTTTTAAGTATCTATTGATGCTTGTTTGTCAGAAAGTTATTACTGTGATGTTTACAAAACAGTGATTTTTCTATTTTTTTGTGTATTTATTAGATGGAAACCCACTTTAAGAAAGAACTTTGTGGGCGAGGCGCAGTGGCTGATGCCTATAATCCTAGCACTTTAAGAGGCCAAGGCGGGCAGATTACCTGAGGTCAGGAGTTTGAGACCAACCTGACCGACATGGAGAAGCCCCATCTCTACTAAAAATACAAAATTAGCTGGGTGTGGTGGCACATGCGTGTAATCCCAGCTACTAGGGAGGCTGAGGCAGGAGCATCACTTGAACCTGGGAGGCGGAGGTTTCAGTGAGCCGAGATTGGTCCATTGCACTCCAGCCTGGGCAACAAGAGTGAAACTCTGTCTCAGAAAAAAAAAAAAAAAGAACTTTGTCTTCTCCCCTGTGTGTTACTCAGTGATTTATATCACTGTGTACTCTTGGACCTTCATTTTATTCTATGGGTTGTAATCTACTCATTTTGTTGCTCAAAGTGCACCGTATTTGGCCACTGAGAGCCTCTTCAAGTTGGGCCTGTGTCCCTTTGACATGTCTCCAACATTTATGAGCACTTCCTTACCCTTTTGGAACCTTCAGGTATTCCTGGCTTATTATGTCCTTCCCCTGCCCCAGCTCTGGAATCAGCTGTTTCTCCCAGGAACCCTAGTTCCTTTTGTTGGAGGTGGTATATAGAGACCAATTTCTGGGTGCTAAGTGTGCTCTTTTGTATGAGGGTTTCATTGCTTCTGGGCCCTCTCAGGTGGCAGAGCTAGGAATTATATGTATGCATTAACATGTATACATATATTGAGTTGTTGTTATATCTATTTATATACATTCATTAAAACCTGTGAATTCGGCCGGGCGCGGTGGCTCACGCCTGTAATCCCAGCACTTTGGGAGGCCGAGGCGGGCGGATCACAAGGTCAGGAGATCGAGACCACGGTGAAACCCCGTCTCTACTAAAAATACAAAAAATTAGCCGGGCGCGGTTGTGGGCGCCTGTAATCCCAGCTACTCGGGAGGCTGAGGCAGGAGAATGGCGTGAACCCGGGAGGCGGAGCTTGCAGTGAGCCGAGATCGCGCCACGGCACTCCAGCCTGGGCGACAGAGCGAGACTCCATCTCAAAAAAAAAAAAAAAAAAAAACCTGTGAATTCATATTGATTCCTCCGATTCCATTCCAGCACCATAGGGTTCATGCTATTCTCCCCGTTATTTGAAACTCTTTGACAATGAGAAACTTACCTCTTATCCACTAGATATTAACTTAGTGTAAATCCCAGAATGCATAATTTCAGAAGTTCTAACTCATACTCCTGTGAAAAATCTACAACTAAAA